CACACATCCCCAATAGGCTACTCTTCCCCACTAGCATCCTCTATGAGCAGCACAGAAGCCATCCTGGTTGGGGCTAAATCGCAGGGACGTGGAGTGTTACCAAATGGGACATGATTTGTTTTGTGAGCGTTCAGGCTGTCAACTCGCATCAGCCTGACTGCATCATGACAGCTCACGTTCACTATAGTGACAGCAGCGTTTGCTGCGGGGCCGGCACACTTCAGGTCATGTTTAGGAATGTTCCTCTCAACCTGATGGCTTGTAAGATCAAATCAATCCTCTGCCTCTCCCATGTCCACTTTTACAAATATACCTTACTTGGAAGACTGAAAGACTGAAAAAAAAAAAACCTTTTTAATAGTTTTAAGTCTGATTGCCTATAATGCAGTCGTTCAACTCATTCTAAAGAACAACAACTGAACAATGTTGTCGATTTAAAGGGATATAGTTCACCTAAAAACGTGATTCACTTTTTCTCACACAAAGCTATCGTATGGCTTCAGAAGACTTGTAATATGAGTCATATAAACCAATTTATGATACTTTTATGGTGCTTTTTGTCCTTTCTATTAATCTTTCCTTTTGTGTTCCACGTAAGAAAGGAAATTCAAACTTTGTTGGAACAAAAAAGGTCCAAAAGCTGTCACTGGGGTGGAACCTTTTCAAATTGTATACCTTTGTACCTCATTTATCCCTAAAGGATGCATATTACTACCTTAAAGGTACAAATTAGCACCTAAATGGTAACATCTTAGCACTTAAACTGTGCAATTTAGTACTTTTTGAAAGGGTACCACCCTAGTGGCTTTTGGCTTTTTTTTCTGAGAGTGTAAAGGTGACAGAATTGTTGTATGAACTATCCCTTGAACATCAGATAATCTTTTCATCTATTCCCTTTTAACCCCTAAGACCAATTTATTTTTCTCTGACAATGAGTAGTAACAGCTCAGTAAATAATGGCACTTTGCACCCCAGACTCCCCAAATTAGTCAGTTCTTTTCATGTGACAACTCAGAACTACTTCAACTGGGCAACCAACAATGAATATTAATATCTCTTCATTGCCCGACTGAGTTACATGGCAATCTGGGAAATCAAGTGCAAAACAACAATAAACATAAACAACACAATTGACAGACATATAACACAGCTAAACACTGAATGAGACAGAGTGCAGTCAAACTAATCTGATTTTCTGCTTCACTGGAATAATAAGAATCCGAAGCTTGTTAGACAAAAAGAAAGAGTGTAAAAAGAGAGATGCATAATAGACAGCAGGTTCACATAACCTTGGTGAGCCATACAGAGCGCAAGTGCAGGTGCAAGATCATTTTTTACATTTCATATTTTGGGAAAGGCTATATGCAAGAGCAATATTTTGAGATGTTAAATATTTAAAATGGCCATCAAAGCCCATTGCAATAACCAACAAATTAAAGAGTTTAAATTAATACATGCTTTTGTTTTACAAGTGAAACAGGACATTTAATGTCGAAATGGTATAGGGCGTGTCTTGATTTTATACTTCTGAAATTGATTGGATTGTGAAAAGTGGTCTTGATGTGACTGGTGAAATAATGTGCACAGATTTGTCATTCACAACATGACCAGAAACTTAATAGGGTCAATTTTGATGTTGACTTTAAAAAAAGGATTTTCACTCTCCAAAAGTAGGCTGATGGCTTTAAATGAAACTCTCTGACTGCATTCAATTACAGTGAAATTGTCAGAAAAAAAAAATCCCTGTGAAACTATATCATCTAACAGTGTTGTTCAGATGATTATACATGATTGGAAGCAATTGCTTTAATAAGGGTTGATAACCACTATCCATCAATGTTTCAGCACCAGGAGCACAACATCATGATATTATCTACCCTATCTTACATCGCAGCTACCGAGTTCACAGTTAGCCTAACTGCAGCCCAGCTTTTGTACACACCAAAATAGAAGGTGTAAGAAGTTGTAGTAGTAAGGTTAAGGTTAGGGTTAGGCCTGTAATGGGATTGGAGGGAAGAAATGTGCAAAGAATGGAGGCCAGAGCAGCCTAAGTCTCCAAGGATAGAGTGTTAAAGAGTGCCACCACCGCTTACAGTTCCTGTCACAAGCAAACCCTCAGATCTGGAGTGACTGTGTTCCTCCGGCCAACACACACACACACACACACACACTTTAACACGAACACCCATGCATATACGTCTATGTATGCTCTTCCTTATTTTTGTTGAGGTGTTTCTATATTCTTGGAGGGGACGAGGGAAACAAGGCCATCTTTCTTTCTTTTCCTTTTCGTTTCTGTTCATGATGGTGGGAAGGACGGTCGTGACATACGAGGAGGTGGCGGAAATAGGAAGGGTGGGAGGAAGAAGGAGACAGCAAGCGCTCAGAGGGTGTAAGTCATGTATGTGTCAGTGTGTTTCTCAGGCAGCCAGTCATTT